AGCTTACAAGAGAACTCAGAGCTAAAATATAAAGTATGAATGTTATGTATTAGGTCATGAACTTTGGTTGTTGCTGTTTGATGAAACAAATGAATTAGTTATGTCAGTCAAAGAACAGAAAAATATTGTGTTAGTGAAAACTGCACCAAGTCAATAAGATTAGGTTTGCATTATGAAGATGAGTTCGATACTGTTGAAGAAGTTTTGGATAGATATTACAAATTGCTTTAATTTACTAAAACATATTTCAAGCAAAGTTTATATTCTGTTGAAAGTTTTGTATACTCGTTCGAAATTTATACTTAAACTCAACTCCTGGAGTACCTGGTGTTTCAATGATGCGGATGTTACCTATTTTCATGAATGGTGGCGTTTGACCACAGCATTCGATTTCAGGGTCGAGATAGTCAATGACACATTGTTTCCCTGTTATTCGTGATATAACATTTTCAAGGTCCTCCTTTGTTAGAATTATTTGGTTCTTACTTATAAGATTTATCAAAAGCTTCTTACGTCTTTGAGTAAGATAGTTTGGTAAACTGAAGAAGGTAATGGTCTACGTTATCTGAAGGATTTGTTTGAACATTTATGTAAGGGTTTGTCGTTGGCTTCTCTTGAAAGAATTTGGTCCAGTGGTGGATACTCTAACTTAACATCTGATGTAGCGTTTGCACTTGAAGCTGAGTTTAAATTCACGGATTTCAGTTCTGGTTCTTTTTCTTTCAAACACTCTGAACTATAGTTCTTTATGACAATATTGTTTGTCGTTCGTGAGTCAACATTTGATGTTGGTTCAATTGGAACATTAACGGCACCAGCTAAGATGGATTTGCTTCTCATTTCATATAGAATAAAAACCTTTTATATGTATGAAATGAACAATATACTCGACAAGGGTTTGAATGTAAAGCTAACGAATGAAAATATTGTTGAATTCACCGAGACAGGTGTTGTGTATAAAGATGTAGAACTACTGAACAAAAGAGCAAAGGGAAGAAGCAGGAATATGAACAAAGGGTGGAAACCTATAAAAATTTATGTCAATGATGGCTCAGGAGGTTCAAACATAAAGTATGCAGAAAGTTATAGAGTTTATGCTCTCAAAGGTGAAAAGCCTTCATTTAAGAACAGCTATTCTAACGCATATCCTCAAAAGCTAACGGATGGGGAAGTGGATGATATGAATGACAGCAAAAATATTAACAGAAATGGCGACAGAGATGCATGGAATTTGTTTACCATCAGTCAATTGAAGGTTAAACTTTAAAACAATGTTGGTCGTTCCCATGGAATATTTTTGACTTTAATGGTATTAGTCATGATATGAATCTCAAGGTATGAACGAGGAGAGATGAGAGACTTATATGCTTCCCAAATTTCTTCAAAAGGTAATGTTATACCTGACTGTTTCCAAATGAGTTCAATATCATAACGTGAGAAACCTTGAAAGATAACGAAGTCAGTTATGAGACGTTTTATGTTTAAAGCAAGGAAACGCCATGTTTGCATAAGTATTGCTACAGTTAAATGGTAATGTCTGACTTTAGTTATGATGTTAGCTAATGGTGAGTCAGGCTTTGACACTAAACCTTTTCCGGCGAAGTCGTCACAAACGAGCAGAGTATTTGAAGGATACTTTTTGAAGGGGTATTTTGAAAGTTTTGACAGAATGTAGTTTGTCAGTCGTTTCATATCGTAAACTCCTGAGTACTGACGTAAGTGGTGTTTGTCAATAATTCTTTCCATCTCTTCTGAAGTCTTTTGCATTCCTGACTGTATAAATTCAACGATGGCATAATATTTTCTCTTACGTCGAATGTAACGTTGAAGAAATTCAATGAGTTCACTGTCTGGAACTTTAACGACAGATGCTTGAACTTTACTCATGAATGTTTTCGCTGTTGAGTCCATAGAGTCTGAAGTTGCTGATATAATGATTTGGTCATAGTAAGAGTCGTTTCCTAAACGCTCTGTTATGAGTATATGACGAATGAGGTTGAATGTCTTTCCTGACCCCATCTTTCCACAATAGAAATAAACACCATTTGAACAGAATTCATAATCTTTGCTGAAAGGAAGAATAAGAGAAGAGTTAAGTTTGTCTGTAGTTTCATTCATGTCTTCATCTACGTCATGTATTAAATGCTTCATTTTATCTCCATTAAAAATGCAAGTCAGAAATATTCAGAACATAGCACCGAGTCTAACTGACAAGAGTATAAAGATATACTATGAACATGTTATGATGAAACCAACCAAAATTCAAGAAAGTCAGTATACTTATGAATATCCAAGACACTGGGTAGAGTATGTAGGAGGTGAGAAAGCTATTGAAATAAGACAAGTTAGAAGTATTCCAGCAGGAAGAACAATATTATTGAAGAACTTTAATGTTTTGAGATATAATGATGAAACAAAGAAGCAAGATAGTTTTCCTGTTGCTGTGTATGTGAACTTAGATACAGGAGATGACATGAAAGTTTTTAATACAAAGCTTCAAACGGTAGTGAGAGAACAACTTACTGCAGAAGGACACCCATTACCTTCAGAAGTTACCATAGCATATAATTTTGAAACAAATGCAATAGATTTTAAAGTCGTCTCTGCAAAGAAGTCAGGTTTTACATTTAATGAAGCAGATGTATATTCAAATGAAAACTTCAAAGCTATTGCATGGTTAGATAATGACGATTGCTTTAAGAAAATATTTAAATACAGTGACTCAACGATGTCAATAGATGACCTTCGTGGAATGTTACCATCGACGTTTACAGTTGAAGGTTCAGCAGGATTGCTTACAAGATTGTCAATTGGTGGCGTTTGGTCTCGTGAGAACATTGTTATAAAATCCAGTATAAGTGAATTTGCCGAAGAATCTATATTATGTCTTTCAAACTATATGTATTCGCCGCCGAAGCATTATAGTATAACAAACTTTGTCAGTAAGTTTAACATAAGACTTGTCGAACCTTCTTCAATGAAAGATGTTGTGCTACCTAAAGATGGAAAGGATGGACTCATTATTGAGATGATTTTAATAGCATATTAAATGAGCTTGTTCTTGAAGGTCATTCATGATGAAATAACTGTTGTAGAAGATGTTAGCAATTGTTCAGACATTTTGAAGCGTATAGATGATATAAGAAAGAAGTTAGATAGACCGCAAAGCGGTGAGGGCGAAGCCCGTGAGAATGTTTATGTTTCATTGACTTTCTCCAGTAACGAGAACTTTTATGAGATAATATTGAAGAGAGATGATTTTAATATGGGTAAATGGTAGCTTGGGCAGCTTTAGGCGCAATGGGAACAAAAGCATTAGCATTTGGAGCAAAAGCACTTGGAGCTTATGACGCAGTAAATAAAATGAGTGGAGGAAGAGTTTCGAAGACATTAGATGCAAATAAAGGAAAGATTGGAGGCTGGGTTGTAAAGAAGTTAAGATTAAATAAAATAGGGCTCATAAATAAAGCATCCAATTTGGTTGCGACTGAGTCAGAAAATGCTTTAGGAAAGGATGATGAGTTTGCAAAACATGCAAAAGACTTTAATGACCAGATGAAAGGTGAAACAATGCATTTAAATAGAGTCGATGGAACTAAAGAAAATGTTTCTTCTCCACCAGTAGTTCTTCCGTATGGTCCCTATGGAATGTATGGAAACCCTTACGAAAGACCATTTGACCCATTGACTGGTGGAAGTAACTGGTATCATTACGGCCGAAGAAGAAAGACAGTCAAGTTGGAGACAGACGTGAAGAAAGCAACTAAAAAGAAACCAAGGAAGAGAGTTATAAAGCAATGAATTCAACAGGGTGAAAAAACAGGTGAAAAAAGAGGTGAGATCTCACCACTTCACCTAAATTTAAATGGATGTTTTCATACATGTGAGGGTGGTGATATCATTAATTTTTTATTTTATTTTTAAGTTTATTTTTTATTTTATTTGGATGTAATGACGAAAACTATTGAGATAACAAACTACAACGGTCATGAGTTCAAGAATTTGTTCTTCGTTCCTCGTGAAAATACATTCTATCAGATACGAGGGAGAAAGGGTAAAGTTAGTTTGAGCGTTTATGAAGGAATGAAGAATGGAAAGTTTATACAAGCATACGATACAAACGGTAAACGTGTTTCATTAGCTTTGTCAAAACTTACAGGTATAAACTATGACAGTGATTTTGACTCTGACGATTGGAGCGACAGCAGCGATACTGAAGAATATGAACTATTGTGTGAAGCACAGCAATGGGAAGAGTTGCAATACTTTTGTAAGTGAGAACGTTTATTTTTTACAGTAGTGAGGTGAAGTGGTTGGCGGCTTTATAAATATTTAAGGTTAAGTTGGTGTTTGTGTTGTAAAATATACGTTACTGGTTTTGTAAAGTGTCAAAACAGCTAAGTTGTGTACGGAGGCGCGCAGTGCCTCAGTACACGACTTAGGTATACTAACTAACCTAGATTGTACTTAGCTTTTATTTCGTGAATGGTTGGTAACAAATCTGTTCTAAGAGGAGTTTCTGGTCTTCCGAGCTTTTTTTGGATTTAAACCAAGTTCTTGCCATTTTAATAATAATTTTTTTCTACCTATGTGCAAATCTTTTGCAACTTGGTCTGCTGTCTTTTTGCCAATAGAATATTCAAGATATGCCGTAATATAAATCTGATTTTCATTTGGCAGATCCACTTCTTGTCTTTCCATTTTTTTTGAATCAATTTAAAAAAAAAAAAAAGGTAGTGGGGCCTCCAGGCACTTCGTGCCCTCTAGCCCTGAAGATGTTTAGTATAACTTTGTCCGGACAAGTAAGGGTCTATCGTCGCTACAGGAAAAGTTACAGGCGTTCCAAGGAAGTATACTTTGAGAAGCCTTTTCTCCCTTATAGAATGAGATAGGACGGTTATTTTACAAAACTGACAACACTTTGACCGAGTAGTTTTTTGTGCTGAACAAAAAGTGTCATATAAACATCTGTCAAAAACCGCTTTTTAACTTCACTTAAAATGCCACGTAAGCTACGTAAGAATATACGTAAGAGGAAGAGAGCATTGAAACATCCAATAGTAAAACTGACACCACAACAACAGTTGCAACAACAAATGCTGAATGACCCCACTATGTTGCAACAAATGTCAAGCAACCCTATGCTTTTAAACCGAGTTATTGGTGCACAGAGTGGAGGTTTAAGAGCGGCACTTTTAGCGAAAATGGCAGGCTATGGTGGAGCTGCAGACGGAACAGCTTATAACCCTCAAAGTCAAATGAATTTGAGTTCACTCAAAAATCAAATAACAGATGTCAAAAAGTCAAACATAGACATACAGAAACAAATAAGTGAAAACGAAAAGAAACTAGAATATGACAGACACACAAAGAAACTCAATGAGTTAAACGTAGAGAAAAAGAAGAAAGAAGAACAACTGAAAGAACTAAGTACAGAGGAATATGCGAAAAAAGTGTCAGAAAAAGCAGCAGAAGTAGCAAAAATGGAACAGGATGTTATAAATTTGAAAAACCATACTACTCAATATAAAGTACTGAAAGATGAAGAGATAAAACAAAAAGCCCTGAAGACATATATGGATAGCGATGAGTATAAAAAAGAAGTTGAAGCAAATGTAAAGGCAGAAAAACTTTTACAGTTGCAAAACCAAACCGTACAGTATGAAAACTTAGCACAAGAAAGTAAAAATAACGACGCAGCCATGCAAAAGGCAATGAAAAGCGCAGAATATATAAAAGCTAACAATGACTGGTTAGATACCCAAGCCAACGCTAAAGCAGCCCAACTTATAGGGTCAATAAGGACAAAAATACAAGCGGATGAAGACAGTTCAAATGAAGCTTTAACAAATGCTGACTTTAAGAACGCCTTCGAAGCTCTTCATAGTAAGGTGAAACTAGTGAACGACTTCTCATCTGGAAAGAAACTGAAGTCTGAAGGTTTCGACAAAGAGTTAAGAGAAGTAGCACAAAATATGACGAAAATAACAGATGCAGCAACGAGACAGGCAGTTCAAAGTGCCTATGACGCCGTTAGAGCAACTGTTGTGGAAAGTCAAGAAAAAGAGTTACAACAGACCAAAACAGACCTAGTAAATGCTTTCTTAAAAACGAAAAGTCAGGTAGGACACTATGCTGCAGATGGAACATATGTGCCAGCTGGTGGAACTTATATACTAGCTGGTGGAACTTATATACCACCAAACCCTCCAAGAGAAGCACCTGCACCAGGACTACCTAAAACATTTACATCGTCACATGGACACAGACACAGGCATGCACCAAAACCAACACAACAACCAACACAACAACCAACAGTTCAAAACCCTGCACAACAACCACCTCCACAACAACAACCACAAACAGAGCAAGGGCATAAAAGAAGTAGAGAACAAGGAAACCAAGATTTCTTAAAAATGCTTAAAGAAGACTATGGTTACCCAGATACTCTTGACTTTAGTGACAGATATAAAGAAGCTATTAGAAAGTTCAAGGAAGGAAATACTGACCCGAACCTATTTAGCTTTATGGCTCAGCACCAAATGGGATATAATTTCAAACCTGGAAAATACAAGCTCGCTAAGGATATGATTTAATAGCATATCATCCAAATGACATGACTGAATTTACTCCGAGATATTTGGTGTCAGAGCTAAATGACAATTCAACTCTCTTCATGAAACGCGTAAAAAATAGAGACGGAACGAAAGAAGAAAGGTTTATGAGTCCGGATGACTTAAATAGGGAACTTGTTAAAAACGGTCTCGGAATATATGAAATGCCAGCAGATGAGGTACAAGAAACTCCACAGGAAGAAGTTCAGATACAACCAGACATGGAAGAAATAGTTCAGCAACAACAGCTAGAAGAGCCTGAAGGAAACGAACAAGTCCCTCCTTTGGAAACTAACTTCACAGAACTAGATGAAGATTTGGAACAGCCGAAAAATCTTGACCCTCAACAAGAGTATGAGGTGAATATGGAATCTTTCCAAGAGTCTAAGAAAAATTCGGCTGACATGGTAGAAGAATATCGAAAAATGTTTGCCGACATACAAAAGACTCCAACACCAGATGAAAATATTCAGCATAGAATGGAAGTACTGAAAGAAAATGTACGCAAATACAATAACCCTTTTTACTTACGACCATATAACGTTCAATCTTTGGCTGAACTCGGTGAAAATAAAAGGTTAAATTTCAACAAAACATATAGAAATGAAACATTGTTTAAAGTTCATTCAGAACCTAACCAATATGGAAACAAACCTACTTTTGTTTCTGCAGACTATGGAACTACAATGAGATGGGGTCATAAAGCTAACCCGGATAGGTGGTTCATAAACTTACAACCACAATTCCAAGAAGTTGTAGACGCAATGGAAGTCAATGGTGAACCAGATTTAGCTGGTATTTTCAGCGCGGCTTTAATGCCATTGAAAGATATGAAAGATGCAGATATTTTGAACCAGTATGAAATGAACATGGCTGATGGAAATATAACACCTGACGTTCTAGAACATTTATCTCAAAGAACTACACAGAACCATAGAGATGGTATATTTGGTGAAGAGTTTAGAAAGAAAGTTAGGGAGAGAGAAGGAAGAGAACCTATTGTACATGACCTTGCAAACGAAAGTTTGCAAAATGTCATAAAAACTTACTTTGCAGACAATGAACCGAGAATGGATGAATATTTAAGAAAACTCAAATGGACAGTACCAAATGAAATGTTAGTATTGAAAAACATGTTCCTTGACAAAATAAAACCAACTACAGAAATAAATGACGCAAGACTGAAACGTTGGGTAAAAGCTTTCCCATTCACAAAAGATATTGTTGGTAACATGGAAAGAAAACCAGAATGGCTACAAAAACATATATTTGGAAACGAGCTTATTCCATATGGACAAGCTCTGTTTGAAGAGCTTGAACCGGAAACTCAGGAAAGAGTCATGCAAACAATACGCGAAGACTCAAATACAAACTATGACAAAATCTTTCTAGGATATAGGTTACCTGAGATGGGCGACCAGAGCCCAAAGGCAAAAAGGACATGGGAAATTTACAACATACTAGGTGAACATGAGGCAAAGATGCTACAACTTGAAGCAGAGGGCAAGTTACCAAAAGCGACACCAAAGAAGAAGAGAAGAGTAGAACAAAGTGAAAGTAGTGAAGAAGTAACTTCATCTAGTGAAAGTAGTGGCAATGAAGGAAAAAGAAGAGTTAAAAACTCAGTCAGGAAGAAAGTAAAGCTTGGTCCGAGTGGGTTCTATTATGACACATAAATTCAACTATTCTATATTTTTACCCATATGAAATGTACGCCGCTCAGAATATAACGCCAACAGTTTTGGATGCCATGAACGGAAATGTTTCCGAATGGTATAACGAATGTGACAATGCCATTAGAAGGTCAGAAATAGTTCCTGGAACTTACGAATATACAACTGCTGTTTCTTATGGAAACGTAGGTGAGTTTGGAGAAGGTTCTTCAACAACAGTAGATATTGCTTGCGACAGGTTTCATATAATTTCTATTGACAACTCATTCTTATACGTGGAACAAGACATTGAAATAAAACCTTCTGCCAAGTTGTCTAACAAGAAAGGTTGCAATGGAATTTTCTATGTCGGATACCAATATGCTCCAGAAGTTTTCATGGGATATAAGATATATTCTAACTCTGACTTAGTTCAAACAGTAACATGGGCAAACTATGAATGGTTCGCTTTGAGAAACTCAGTACAACCACAAGCTAGAGAACAAACAGACCAGTATGCAACTATTGAGAAAATAAGAAGACTTGACCCTAACGTTCCAGGAGTTTATGTTAACCTTTCTGGACAAACTGCAGCAGCAGTAACCAAAGTAAAACTGAAACTTAGAGTTCCTTTGTCATCTTTCCTCATCTTCAGGTTTTTAAGATACTTGCCAAACTGGGCAGGAAAAATTTCTATTGAACTTACTCCAAGCAAAAATAACTTAGTCATTGCACCAACACAAGACCCATTCACTATTACAGACGTAGAGGGAACAAATAAAACGTCATTCGCCGACTTTTGCAAAGACAAAGTTGACTTAGACTTTGGTTTCTCAAACTTCAACACTGAAGTAAACTATTATTTCAATGCTGCTGGAACTGCTTGGGACCCAGTTAAGTTCACATGCGAAAAATTTGAATGCAAGAGAATAGAAAGCAGACTTGCAGTCTATATGTTGGACCCAGATATTTCAAATGCTTTAGCTGCCAAATATATTGCAGTTCCACTTATGTTCCCTATACACCAAATATCTGTCAAAGACTTTGCAGGTGAAGTTGGAAACCAAAGTGCTGACCCAGGTGCAAGAACAGATATTGCCTTAAACAACTGCAATGAAACATGCAGATACTATGTTTGTACTGTTCAGACGAACTATAAATGACTATTCTTGTTTCTACAACCCCGGTATTAAATATCATATAAACATAGATGGCAAATATTATCCAAGAGAAGAATATTCTACAGTTGAGGATATGAGGTCATACAACTTGACATTAGATGCTATGAACTTTAACAACAACTTCACAACAACCATTAACCCTGAAATGCAAAGTTCTATTATGCCATATGTGAAAGTATGGACCCATACAGGAAGTCAAAAAACTCAATATACAAATGGAGACCGTTCAAACTTTTGGCTTGGCATTCCATTTGCTGACTCAGAAGACTTTATGGGGGTATTTCAACTGTTGGTACAGTTCAAATACAATATACTGGTGACAGAGACGGTCCAGATGAATTGAAAGCAAAGAAGTTTACAAAACCAATAGCACTTTTTCACGGAAGATGCTCTTTTGAAGATTCGTTCGATGAAACCTGCTGGGGCTCCTCAGATTGGCATAACGACAGCTTCCATCGAGCAGATTTTGGCAGCAGGTCAGTAAGTTGTTCTTGAACTGACTTCTCTCCGTCAAATATTGACAGTACGCCAGTTTTGACATAATATTGTATTATAAACTTACCTTTAGAAATATCTGTAAGTTTTGAAGTTATATTTTTGTCTGCTTCAAGAACTTTCACCATTTCAGTTATACCAACTTTCTTTGCTTTATGAAAATATTTGGTTCAGCAAAGACTGCTATTCTATAACATTTTCCATTGTTTGTGTAAAGAACTATTCTGTCAATGTATTTGTATTGTTTGTGTGTGTAAACTTTGTTTTGCTTCAATTCGAAGAGATACTCAAATACGTCCATCTTTTTATTCTAAGTAAAATGTCATTTCCGAAAAATAGAAGCGTAAGTGTTTCAAAAGGTTTAATGGCGGTGGCAGATGTGAAGTTAAATTCACCAACTCAAACAAACAGTCAAAGTGTTATTGTCAATGTCAAAGAAAGAGATGTTGAAGTGGGGAAACCATACGAAGACCAAGATGTATAACAATAGTTCCTGTAAAAAGAACAACCAACATACCCTGAAGTTAGCAGAGACTTAAGTTCTGTTGCAGATATTCGAAACGACTACCAACAACTGAAAGACAAACTTCAAACTCAGGAGAAGATTTGTCAAGCTTTAGGTATAATGTTAAACTTGGTCGAACACAACCCTGTAAAAGTGAACTCATATGTCAT